CTGTGGGCTCATCTGCTGGCCTGTGAGGTCCAGGTGTGACCGGGGGCGCAGGACTCCTGGCTGACCCTGGGCAACTGGGCAGCACGGGGCGTGACTGATGTGTGAGTTCGTTAGCTTTGCGGAGTATCAATTTCCTTACCTGCTAAATGGGGAGATAGCTCCTGGCTTAAACCCATCTTCCAGGAGAAGCTCTTGGCAGGGTGATTGGAATGAGGTAAGCACTTAAGCCATGGTTGCTGTGGATCTTATTGCTGTGACTTCAGCCTTTGTCCAAAATTTCCATGCACCCTCTTGGAGTGTTATGCATCGGGAGAGCCTGGTGGCTGATGCCCATAGAAACGCCTCTCCCCAGAAGCTCCCCCAATCCCAAGCTCTCATTATCCTACATGCATATTCATGAGGTCTGGCCTCAGCCCCGCTCTGTAAATGAATCAGTAGCAGGAAGTGGAGGCCAGTGCAGAGAACAAGGCCCAGGGGACAGGAGGCTGGAATCCAGAGTGCATCTGAGTCCTCATGGATGGGAGGATGGTGAGAGGGCCTGGGCGAGAGTGGGGTGGGAGGTGTTGGGGCCGCGGGGCTCCAGGCAAGGGGATCTTCTATTGCATAGTTGAACACTGAGGCCTGATGCCGTCAGGTTAGAGACACTCTGGTGTGTGTGACCCTTGGGGTCCGGGAAGTTGGGTGAGCACCTGTGCTGAGTGACGGGCAGCTGGCCCTGGCATGTTCCCCTTGATGGACACCCGGCACTGGGTGGAAGAGCATGGGATTCTCAATCCCAACCCGCCAGGGAGGCTCAGAGAGGCTGGGTGACTTGCTAGGGTGACACAGCGGCTGTCTGTCACCTTCCTGCTGGGAGTGTCTGAGACAGTATTCTGGCCCCATGCAGGAGGTTCAAGACTGGGAGAAAGGTTGACAGGCTGGCCAAGGCATCAAGAAACGACACTTCCTTGTCCACTGCCTCATTTCGTCTCCTGGGTGGTCCCCTTAGATAGCAGGAGCAAAAATGACCCTCTCCATTCCGCAGATGAGAAGCGTGAGGCTGAAAGAAGATGAGTCAGCAGGACAAAGCGGCGTGGTGAGTTCTCCGTGGCGCGAGCTGTCCCCTCCACGTCAGGTGTGAGTGGGGTGGGAGCCCCGCTGGCCTCGGGCTGGGCAGGGGTGAGCCCAGGACCCTGGCAACATGTTGCCTTGCTCCCTAAGTTTCCGATTGACAAGCAGGGGGCTGGCTCACCATACACGGTCACACTGATCCCTCACGATTCCTCTTTCTCGGATGCTTCCAATCACAACCCTATTTCGGGGGGGGGGGAGGATCGGGTACGAGGGGTGAAGCACAGCCTCCTCTACCCCCAACTCAGGATGGCACAGGGCGGAGGAGGCTGTGACCAGAACACAGCTCTCCTTTGGGTCTCAGAACCAGAGGACAGGAAAAATGGGTCTTTGGGGCAGATGCATCAAAGGGAGCTAACCTTGGGATGGGAGGATTAGAGGGGGGCTGGCCCCAGAGTGGTCAGTGGCTTCCGGCATCTGTGACTGCAGGGTGGGAGGTGACCATGCAGGGGCTGTTTGGGGATCAGACTGTTGGTCACAGCAGAATAAGGAAACTAAGCTGTGGTAAAAAGTTCAGTATTCCTTCTGCAAGCACTTACTGCCCTACTGTGTGCCAGGCTCTGACCTGTGCCCAGGGCAGGGAGGGGCAGCCAGAGACGAATCAGGCAGTCCCAGGGCAGCTGAGAGTCCCCTAAGGGACTAGACTAGCGGGGTACAGAAGAGGACACAGACCAGATATTGATATTGATATTGTGACCTCTACTTGCCAAGAGAGACAGTAAGATACCAGGAACAAACGTTGGGGTCCAGGGATGGGGCCACACCTGTGGCTTTCCAGCTCTGCCCCTTTCGATCTGTGTGGCCTGGAGCCAGAGTGACAACCGTCACCATCACCATAGCCAGTGTTCACTATCCAGCATGCAGGTTACTTTTTTGTGCCTCAGTTTCTTCATCTGCAAATTGGGCTGGAGTGAGGAGTTAACCTACTTCCCAGGTCTCCGGGGGAGAGAGTCTGGCACACACCGGAGCTCCGCAGGGAGGCCCAGGTGGCCTTGGAAACAGAAGAAAAGCAGGAGTGGAATGATTCCCAGCGGGGTGGGGGCAGTGGGTGGAGTGACCCAGGGGTTCTGGAAGGAGAGTGAGGGAACAAGAGGACTCAGGGCTGGGCCTGACATGGGTACAGGTGTGGAGGAGGGGGAGTGTGGAACCGTCCTGGCATAATTCCTGGCAGAGCCTGGCGCCCTGTGACCCGCCCAACCATGCAGTCCAGCCGGACCTGTGGCCCCAGGGCCACTGTGAGGCATGCAGACTTCCTTCCCTAACATTATCCCGTCCGGAGTTGGGGAGCCGAGCGCTGGGGGGTGAAGAGAAAGGAGTTAAGTACACAGCTCTGCTCTGGGTCTCTCCCACCCACCCCTGAGATGGGGCAGGGGTCTAGGAATGTGACCTCCTCCGTGGGCATCCCTAGGGGTGCAAGAGCCTACAAGCAGGGGGTGGCCCTGGGGAGGCTGCTGGGAGTCTGTGGAGTTTGAAGAGAAGGTGGGTGGAGGAAGGGCAGGTTGAGTGTGAGGCTGGGGTCTCACAAGGGACAGGGGCAACACGCGGTTTGCGTCCATCAAGCACCTGCCAGTCCCGTAGGGCCCTCGGAGGTCCTCTGCCTTTACAGCTGGGAACTGAGCCTCAGAGAGAGGAAGCGACTTTCCGCGGGTTCTTTACCCAGTCGTCATCATTCAACACCCGTGTGCTGAGCAGAGGCTCCGCGCCCCGGCGGAGGGTCAACAGGGACCACCTCTTGCATTCTGCCTCCAGGTGTGGCAGAGTCTTGAGGTCGCACGGTAGCCAAACCCGGACTCACACCCAGGTCCCACTGTGTCCAAAGCCGAGCCGGGGCCACAGTTGGGTCGTGTTGCGCGGCTAGTAGCGGCGGGAATCCCGGAAGCTCCTGCCTATACGGTCTTGCCCAGCGCACCTGCCCAGGTGAGTCCAGGCAGGCCCCGAGCGCACTGCCGGAAAGTATCGAGCGGCTTCGGCAGGTGGGGCGGGG